CATGCCTACCGAGTTTCATACATATCGGTGACACGTGGCGCCGGGGCTGCTTTTTAAAAATCCTGTAGGGGGCGCTACAAACACGACAAACACGATTTTTGGTATGTGAGCTACATAGGAAGTGCTAATTTTATAGCGTGCTTATTTTTTGAAATATCAAAATTCTTCAAATTACTTTTTTGCCAGGACAGTCCCCAGATGCTACGTGAAAGATTTCGTGGAATATCGGACCAAAGCGTATAGGAAGTAACACGACAAAAGTCGTTTTTGGACATTTGGACAACGAAAAAAAAAATCTACCGGAAGTGGGGCGTGGCCTATATAGGGGTTTCCACATGGCTCCATTCACCGAAATGCGCTGGATATAAGGTTTTGATGTGGCGAGCAAACTATGCAGAAGTTTAGCCTAAACGCACTTTTTATGATAGTAGCGCCAACTAGTGGCCAACCCGAAAGCGACATATAATATAATATAATATAATAAGAATATAAATTTTTTCACCACGACTGACATGTGCGCCAAGTTTCATGAGTTTTCGAGCATGGTCAAGCCTCCAAATATGCGTTTGTTTACTAGGAAAAAGAAAAAGAAAAAGAATTTCTTCAATTACAATAGGGCCTTGCACTGATCAGTGCTCGGTCCCTAATAATGATAAAATGATTCATCACATCAAGAGCAGAGCAAACAGAGAGTTCAATAAACCTGATCAGTGATGGTAACTAATCAATGTATTAATGCCTTTCAGCGTAATTCCAGTTCTCTGACGTCTGAACCTCCTTCTTAGCAGGAGGTTAGCAGGAGGTTAGCAGAAGGTTAGCAGAAGGTTAGCAGGAGGTTAGCAGGGGGTTTTTCACGCTGCAGTTTTAAACTGGTGGAAATAATTTTGTGCTCTTTATTACAGGAACTGTTTTATCTGCCCAGATTGCTGTTAAATTGTCCTCCTGTCTCTGTGCTCAACAGTTTCACTGTCGGCAGAACGATTACATCTGTTTCTGACTTTGTCCTGTTTGCTGCTCAAAGGACAGAAAGAACACTTAATGCAGATCAGATCAGAGAGACAGCCTGAACCAACAGTCGTGGGGCGTTCAGGAAACAAACTGACTGAGGGACTTTCAGGAAATAAAGTGAGTGTGGGGCATTCAGGAACTCAGAAACTCTAGATCCAGTGTTTGGTTTGTCCGTTCTGGGCTACAGATTTTATCAGTGCACCCAGTTCTGAACATCCAGATTTAAACAGGTGGTTTTGAGTTTTAAAGGAGGGCAGTGAGGGAGAGAGTTCCTGAGGGAGAAAGATGGAGAAGGCCCTGGCTCCCCAGGTCCAGAGAGTGAGACGGGTGAGGAGGTTGGCGTCCGTGGACCTGATGTTGCAGCTTTATAGGTGTTGAGTAGAATTTCAAACTGGATTCTTTGTTGAACCGGGAGCCAGTGGAGGTTTTAAAGGGCTGGGTTGATGTGGTCTCTGGTGCAGAAGTGGGTGGTCGGTTAGTCGAGTTTTGGATGTATTATAGTTTGTTGAGGATTTTTGTGGACATGCCGTAAAGGATGCTGTTGCAGTAGTCGAGTCGTGAGGTGATGAAGGCGGATGAGTGTTTCAGGTTGGGGAAGGAGAGGGAGGGGAGTTTTCGTGATGTAGTTGATGTGGTGTTTAAAGCAAAGGGTTTGTGTGGAAGGAGGATTTCTGATTTGTTGCTCTCAAGTTAGCATCCATGATTTTATTTCTGTGAAGCAGCTTGTGAGGCTGGAGTAAGTGGCATCAGTAACGGATTTGGTGGTGATGTAGATTTGGGTGTCGTCAGCATAACAGTGGAAATGTAGGCCATGGTGGCGTATGATGTGACCAAAGGGAAGCATGTAGAGGATGAAGAAGAAGGGGCCAAGCACCCAACCTTGGGGGACTCCCTGAGAGACTGGGGCTCTGTTGCATTTACTGAGGTCCAGTAAAATCAGGATCACTATGCTCAGAGTTCAGAGGGTCTTTGCTAGATGAATGCGACTGTGAGTGTGTATTTCTATCCACTCAAAGAGAACAATAGATTTGTGTCTAAGTCTTCGAAGACCAGTTGCTGTTGAGGAACAGGATCATGTTGAGGTTTTCTGGCTCCATCGAGCTCCTCAAGCTGCAGAACTGATCACCTGCACTGGAGAAAGCTCTCTCTAAAGGCACCGCAGTGGAGACAACCCCAAGTTTCTTCAGACCCAGCTTGCTTAATTCACCAAACTTCTCCTTCCCTGTGTGCCTCCACCAGGCCAAAGGGTTTGACTCCTCTGAGTTCGGTTTGTAGGCCACGTATTTGTTCACAAGTTCGTTGAGTTTAGCGGCAGAGCAGAAAGCAGAGAGCTCTGTCTTTATTTTATCCATCGCTTGTCTTTTGTTTTCGTCTCCCAGCTGGTTTTTGAACCTCGGGTCGAGGAACGTGATGGGAGCCAGAAAGGGGTTGTTGTTGACGTCACCAAATTCCTTTTTACATTTTAACAGTAATGTCTTGGCAACATCATTGCATCTCGCTTCTTCTCTAAGACTGTCCATGAGTCTCTTCAGCAGTGGCAGCACGGCCGAAATGCTCTCGAATCCTTTTTTTTTCATCTTGGACATGACTTCCCTCAGAGGTTCCAGAGCCGATATGATCTTCTTGATTTTCTCTTTATCGCTTTCATTTAGAATCAAATCGGTCTTGCCTCTCTCATTGAACACCATCACCATGGCCGAGTACTGCTCCATTAGCCGTTGAAGCATGTGCAGATTGGGGAGCCATCGGTCCCCGGAGTACAAGATCAGCTTGTCTTGTTTAATTTTCAACCCATTTTGAATCTCTCTGAGTTTCTTCTCAGCTTTAGAATCGCTCTTAAAGAACCTGACGATCTTCTGAGACTTTCTGACAACATTTGACAGCTCGTTATCACTCATCAGACCTTTGAAAACCACATTCAGGGAGTCAGCAAAACAAGGCATGTGTGTCCATTGTGCTTTGACATTCTTCAGTTGTGGCATGCCAGCTCTGACGACACAGTGGACCTTTTCTTTCACTTGCCAAGCATCCATGATGGCTGAGAGCTGAGTTTGAATGTGGGCTGCAGATTCATCTCCGAAGAGGCTGGTAGTTTTGAGTGCGTAGGACATGAGATTGCCGTTGCAGTCCACAAAATGGCAACCCACTGTCAGATGAGAGTCTTCAGCTCCTGAAGACCACAACTCACATGCCAGTACAATGTCATCAGCAGAGGCCAACTTCGATCGCAAATCACTTTCCGTTTCATTGTAGATGCTGAGAAACTCTGACTGCATCGTAGATTTGGAAGGAATTGGAAAGCTGGGGTGTAGTGCTTTTACAAAATCACGAAAGTTTGGATCTTCTGTGATTTCCAAGGGCTGCAGAGTTGATACAACCATCTTCAACAGGCGTCTTTCAGCAGTACAGGGGTACCCATCTGTGGAAGGAAAGAGATTCAAAGTTCAGGATGAATCTTGTTAAAGGATCGTCTTCTTTGAAGCTTCTCCATGTATGTATGTTCATTAAACTGTAGCTAACAGAGCCACCAGTGGTCGTTTAGTGAACTGCAGTCAGCATCCTGTTGCATCACCAGTCACTACTATTAGTGTAGTTGTTGCTACTGTTGTTGCTGTGTGTCTGTCTGTCTGTCTGTCTGTCTGTCTCTCTCTCTCTCTCTCTCTCACCCCACCAGTCGCAAG